AGGTGAGTGGATTGCCTGAGCCCGCGGGTTCGAGACCCGCCTGGCCAACTTGGCAAGACCTCATTTCTACAATAAATAAAAAAAAAATTAGCCGGGCCTGGTAGCGCGCACCTGTAGTTCCGGCTACTTGGAATGCTGAGGCGGAAGGATCGCCGGAGCCCAGCAGGTCGAGGCTGCAGTGGCCGCGAGCATGCCACTGCACTCCAGGCTGAGTGACAGAGTGAGACTCCAACTCAAAAGATAAAAATAAAAAATAAAATAAGACCTGCACGTAAGATCTTGTCTCAGCTCTGCTTTCTGCAGAAGGTTTAGACACCTGGATAATTCAGTTGTATATTTTTGAGCTTCTGAAAATATGGGGATTTCCTAGTCATCTTTTTTCTTATTGATTTCTAACTATTTGAATTCTGGTCAGAGAACGTGGTCTGATGATTTCAATCCTATGAAATACATAAAACAGGCTGGGTGTGGTAGCTCAAGCCTGTAAACCCACCACATTGGGAGGCCGAGGCGAGAGGATTGCCTGAGCTCAGGGGTTCGAGACCAGCCTGGGCAACTTGGTGAGACCTTGTTTCTACAACAAATCAAAAAATAAGCCAGGTATGGTAGTGCGTGCCTGTAGTTCCAGCTACTTGGAAGGCTGAGACAGAAGGATCACCTGAGCCCAGCAGTTCAAGGCTGCTGTAGCATGAGCGTGCCACTGCACTCCAGCCTGGACAACAGAGTGAGACCCCGCCTTAAAAAAAAAAAGAGAGAGAGAGAGAGACTGAGCGCAGTGACTCACGCCTATAATCCCAGCACTTTGGGAGGCAAAGGTGAGTGGATTGCCTGAGCCCATGGGTTCAAGACCAGCCTGGGCAACTTGGCAAGACTTTATCTGTATAATTAAAAAAAAAAATCGCCGGGCTCAGTGGCTCAGCCTGTAATCCCACGCTTTGGGAGGCTGAGGTGAGTGGATTGCCTGAGCCCGCGGGTTCGAGACCCGCCCGGGCAGGCGAGCCCTCATCTCTACAATAAATCAAAAAAATTAGCCGGGCGTGGTAATGCGCGCCTGTAATTCCGGCTACTCAGAAGGCTGAGGCGGAAGGATTGCCGGAGCCCAGCAGCTTGAGGCTGCGGTGGCCGGGAGCGGCCACTGCACTCCAATCTGGGTGACAGAGTGAGACTCCAACTCAAAAAAAAAAACACAAAAAAACCAGCTAGGCATGGTGGCGCGTGCCTGTAGTCCCAGCTACTTGGAAGACTGAGGCAGAAGGATCACCTCAGCCCATCAGGTTGAGGCTGCATGCCACTGCTCTCCAGCCTGGGTGACAGAGTAAGATTCCAACTCAAAAAAAAAGAACTTGCAATTTGCAATTAGATAGTTTTCGGGGTGCAGTGATATAATTATTTAACAATTGGCCAGGCAAAGTGGTATGTGCCTGTAGTCCCCGCTACTCAGGGGTCCAAAGCGGAGGATAACCTGAGCCCAGTAGTTCGAGACCAGCCTGGGTGACATGTGAGACCCTGTCTCTATTTAAAAAAAAAAAGTTAACAGCTGGCTTCCTGGGGGAAGGGGATAAAACTGATTTGTAGCATTTGCCTACCATGCTATAAATACTCTTGCTATGGTCAATTTCAAGCTACCAATGTGATAACTGGTTCAAAGAAAATCTTGAAAATTTAAACATTGGCTCTCACGAGGATACAAACCAGCTTCAGCATACCACTGTGATCATATATGTCCACATGATTAAGTTGTTAAAATTCTCTATATCCTGTCTAAAGGGCTTATCAGTTTCTATTGAAAAGCATGTCAAAATCTCCCACCATTTTTGGAGAAAGCTATATTATCCTTATCAATAAATTGCCAATCTGTCCATTTTTGCCTTATTTATTTTGAGACACTATTATCAGGCGCACACACATTTAGAATTGTTATGGGTTCCTGGTGAATTTAACTTTTTATTACAGTGAAGAGCTGTTCTTTATCTGGAAGGATGATTTTCACTAAAGAGTTATCTGATATCACTATCTCTGTATCGATTTACTTTTTGCTGTTGTTTGCAATCTATGTCCTTTGCTACTCTTTTACTTTCTAAAATTTGTATCTATTTCTTTATTTTTTATTTTTTTATTTTTTTTTGAGTTGGAGTCTCACTCTTTATTTTGAGACAAGGTCTTGCTCTGTTGCCCAGGCTGGAGTGCAGTGGCACGATCATAGGTCACCGCAGCCTCAAACTCCTGGGCTCAAGGGATCCTTCCACCTCAGCCTCTCGAATAGTTAGGACTACAGGGGTGTGCCACTATGTCCAACTCCCCGAATTCTTAATTTGAATTATTGCATTTTTTTAGTTCTAAAATTGCTGTTTGCTTCTTTTTCAAACCTGCTATGTCCTTTTTATGATTTCCAGTTCTCTGCTAAACTTTGGAATCTTGTCTTTTGCCTTCTTGAATATTAGTAAGCATATTTTTAAAAATTTTGTTTGCAGATAACTTGAATATCTGAAAGTCCTGTACATATGTTCCTATTATCTATTGTTTCTGCTGGATTTTCTCCATGATATCTTGTCTCTTAGCGTGCTTTTTTTTTTAATGGTATTTAGAATCATGTTAACTACTTCCAGAAAGGATTCAGATTTGCTTCTGCTAGGATACATATTGCTAGTGCTTACAAGTTCTAGCAATCTATGATTACCTTCATTCAGTTTCAGAAATTGCGATGATTACAAGCTGAACTTCAGTCCCTGTGAGGCCTGGTCTATTTCTGGTTCACTCTGACTTCTAGGCTGTAACCTTTTGTGGTTTTTACTTCAAAGCACAAAGACCTTAACAGGGACCCTTGCCTTGGTAGTCCTCTATTCAAATAATTGTTCTGTAGGCCAACAAAGCTGTCAAAAGTCTTCTCAGCTTCAGACACTCATCCATCTCTCCCAAATTGGTAGACACCACCAGGAAAAACCAGTCTGTGATGATGAGCTCACCTCTCTGGATTTCCTTCATTACTTCCTCGACATTCCAGTGCCTTCAAGCAGAGTTGAGAAAAAATATGCTTGTATTATGTATATTTAAATATATATATATATATATATACACACACACGCACACACATATATATACATATTTAAATATTTAAATATGTATATATATATATATTTTTTGGAGTTGGAGTCTCACTCTGTCACCCAGTGGCCGCTCCCGGCCACCGCAGCCTCGACCTGCTGGGCAGCGGCGATCCTTCCGCCTCAGCCTTCCAAGGAGCTGGAATGACAAGCGCGCGCTACCACGCCCGGCTGATTTTTGATTGATTGTAGAGATGAGGTCTCGCCAAGTTGCCCAGGCGGGTCTCAAACCCGTGGGCTCAGGCAATCCACTCCTCTCTCTCTCTCTCTCTCTCTCTCTCTTTTTTTAAGTTGAGGTCTCACTTTTCCACCCAGACTGGAGTACAGTGGTATGGATCACAGCTGACCATAGCCTCAACCTCCTAGTCTCAGGAGATCCTTCTACCTCAGCCTCCCCAGTAACAGGGACTACAGGCATGTGCCACCACCACTGGCTAATTTCTTTTTATTTATTGTAGAGATGAGGTCTCACTAGGTTCTCCAGGCTGGTTCTCAAACCCTTGGGCTCAAGCAGTCCTCCCACCCCGGCCTCCCAATGTTCTTTATTACTAGGCTATAATGCCACTAGGCACCCAACTCCTTGACTTAAAGTTCTTTATGCACAGGCCCCGCCTCCTCCCTGCGGTTGTCCTCACCTCTCCCTCCTCTGGTGCCCGGGGACCCCCACAGAACCCATACATGCCTCTTTGGCTCCTTCTTTCCCCTCATCCAGCTTCATGCAGGCCTCTCCCCAGGGACAGGGCAGAGCTGTGTAGAAAACAGAGGTTCAGGTGCAATCAGGGCATGCTAAGATGGAGCAAGGTAGGACACTACCTCCCCTTCCTGGGGTCCTGGGCAGCCACTGAGTTTGCGTGTTCTTTATTTAGGAATCCCATCCCCCGCCTTGCTGACTCATGTGTCAACTCACCCTCTGGATTTGCACCTTTGCCTCCTGCAGAAAGGCAGGGAAGGGGGGGAGGGTTGGTACAGGAGGGACCTGACAATTCTCTCTAGTGAATCTGTGGGGACACCCGGATCTCCCTGGCTGTCCCAGATAATCTTGGACCAGGAATGCTCCTCCATTCTCTGGCAGCCCTGATGTGAGCAACAGGGACTGTATCTTTGTCCTTGAGGGCCTCCCACTCAACTTCAAAGGGAAAAGAGGCCATCGGTCACACCGGATGCATCTGTCACCCCTTGGTCCCCCTCCAAAAGTTTAACATTTCACCCTGCTTCCATTCCGTCTCAGCTCTAAAGGCCACACGCTTTGGAAAGATGAACTGGCCCATTTTCCATCAAGCCAGACGCCCAGAGAACTGACGCTTAAGAAACTTACATGTGCATGAAACACACCTGCTGCCCGTTAGCCAATTTCTCATCCTCGTTCCTTCTGTTTTCCTTCCCAGCCGTATAAACCCTTAACTTTGGTGAGGGAGGAGAGACGGCTCCCGTCTCTATGGTTGACGTCACCCATAAAATAATAAGGCCTTCTTTGCTGGCACTGGTCATCTCGGTGATTGGCTTTCTGTGTGGTGGGCAGGAGTTCCTAGACAGAACCCCTGGTGTTCAGTAGCAAATACAGCAACTTGGGTTGAAGTCGGATCTGGATCTACCACTTAGAGCTTATTTGACGTGGTGTGAGTCATCACTTTTGTTGAGCCTCAATTTCTTATCTTTTAAATGGGAATAATTATACTCATCTCAGTGGAATTGTTGTAAGAGACAATGAAGACCAAATGTGTGAGTGACCATAGCCAATAATAATGTATGGTGCACTTAAAATTTCACTAAGAGGGCGGATCTTACAAAGATCTTAAGAGGTGAGATATGGGCGGGTGCAGTGGCTCATGCCTGTAATCCCAGCACTTTGGGAGGCCGAGGTGAGAGGATTGCCTAAGCCCATGGGTTTGAGACCAGCCTGGGTAACTTGGCGAGAGCTCCTCTCTATGATAAATAAAAAAAGTTAGCCAGACATGGTGGTGCATGCCTGTAGTTCCAGCTACTTGGAAGACTGAGGCAGAAGGATTGTCTGAGCACAGCAGATCGAGGCTGTGGTGGCCATGAGCGTGCCACTGTACTCCAGCCTGGGCAACGGAGTGAGACTCCAACTCAAAAAAAAAAAGAAGTAAGATAAAAAAAGATAAAATTTACCAATAAAATTTAAAAGCAAACTGCTTTTTATTTTTAATTATGGCCGGGCACAGTGGCTCATGCCTGTAATCCCAGCACTTTAGGAGGTGGAGCGAGAGGATTGCCTGAGCCCGGGGGTTCCAGACCAGCCTAGGCAATTTGGCAAGACCTTGTCTCTACAATTTAAAAAAAAATTAGCTGGGTGTGGTGGAGGTTCCTGTAGTTCCAGCTACTTGGAAGGCTGAGGCAGAAGGATCACCTGAGCCCAGCAGGTTGAGGCTGTGGTGGCTGTGAGCGTGCCATTGCACCCTAGCCTGGGCGACAGAGACTCTGACTAAAAAAAAAGAAAAAAACTTCAATTATGGCTCTTCCAAAGAAGAGAGAATATAAAATAATTCCCATATATACCTTTCACCTAGTTTTAACAATGATCAACATTTTGCAGTTTTTTCCTTTCCCCATCTGCCGGAGTGTTGTAAAACAAATTCCAGATATCCTATTCTTTCTTTCTTTCTTTCTTTTTTTTTGTGTTGGAGTCTCACTCTGTCACCCAGGCTGGGGCGCAGTGACACGCACACTCACGGCCACTCCAGTGTCGAACTTCTGGGCTCCAGCGATCCTTCTGCCTCATCCTTCCGAGTAGCAGGAACTACAGACGTGCGCTACCACGCCCGGCTACTTTTTATTTTATTGTAGAGACGAGGTCTCGCCAAGTTGCCCGGGCTGGTCTTGAACCCCGCGGGCTCAGACAATCCACTCCCCTCGGCCTCCCACAGTGCTGGGATTACAGACTGAGTCACCCAGCCCGGTCGATATCCTATTATTTCATCGGTAAATACTTCTGGGATGTATTTCTAACAAATAAGAATCTCAATTAAAAAAAGAAAATGGAAGCCGGGCTCAGTGGCTTAGCCTATAATCCCGTGCCTTTGGGAGGCTGAGGTGAGTGGATTGCCTGAGCCCGCGGGTTCGAGACCCACCTGGGCAGGCGAGACCTCATCTCTACAATAAAATAAAAAAACTAGCTGGGCGTGATAGCGCGCACCTGTAATTTCGGCTACACTGGAAAGCTGAGGCGGAAGGATCGCCGGAGCGCAGCAGGCGAGGCTGCGGTGGCCGGGAGCAGCCCCTGCACTCCAGTCTGGGCGACAGAGTGAAACTCCAACTCAAAAAAAATAATAATAAAAAAGAAAAAGAAAAAAGAAAAGAACCATAATATAACTATCACATCTAAAAAAAATTAATCATTCCTTGGCTGGGGGAAGTGGCTTATACCTGTAAGCCAAGCACTTTGCAGGGAGGGTCGTTTGAAGCCAAGGAGTTTGAGACCAGCCTGAACAACATAGTGAGACCTTGTCTCTACAAAAAATAAAATCAAATAAAATAAATTAGCTGGGCATGGTGGTGTACATATGTAGTCCTAGCAGCTCAGAAGGCTGGGGTGGGAGGATGGCCTGAGCCCAGAAGTCTGAGGCCGCAGTGAGCTATCATCAAGTCACTGCACTCCAGCCTAGGTAACAGAGCGAGATTCTGTGTAAAAAAACAAAACAAAACAAACAAAACCAATAATCGTTCCTTAATATTAGCTCATTCCCAGTCAATGTTTAAATTTTCACAATTGTCTCAAAAAAAAGTTTTTTTTTTATGGCTAGATTAATAAATTTAGTTTCTATGTTTTATCTATATAAATCCTCCCTTTCTTTTTCATGACAATTACCTACTGAATAAACAATCATTTTTTCTATAGAATTTCTTAATGCTGGATTTGGCCAAAATAGTGGCCTTTCACATGTTGATCTATCCCTTTGCTATTATTATTATTATTTGTAAACTATAGTTAGATCTGGGGGGCCTGATTAAATTTGGGTTCAGTTGTTTATTGTTCATAAGCGATGCTATGTTCTTTCCATTGTCTTACGTGGGGATCCCCATTGCAACTGGTTGTCCTGCTTTTCGTTACGTCAGGGGTTGGTCAAGGGGTTGGCAATCTAATCCATTCATTTACAAAGTTCCAAAAACCTTACCTAAGGATTTTGACAGCCTGTGATGGTTGTGGGTCCTGAGTCCATGATGGCACTCACTGAGTGCTACAAAATGTTGAATTCCTGATCGTGTCTTTCCTTATGCATTTGTTAGCTGGAATTTTTCTCTACGGAACTTTTCTTCATTACTCATTTGGTTATCTGGTACAGGGGATGGATGCTATTGCCGCCACAGCCTGCAACCCCTTGACCTACCTGTGAGTTGCCTGCAGCTATGGAGGAACAGTTCCCACAAACACCAAGAACGGCCCACCTCCAGTGCTCATCTCTCTCTGCTTTTCTGGATACAGCACCAGAGTTGCCAAGAATCCATCACCTACGGTGGATTGGGAATTACTAACTTTATACAGTAGCCTTAGAATTTGAAGGACATGGGGCAACAGCAATTATATGAATTGTGGAGTTGGTTGGCTTTATTTTACTTCCCCAAAAAACTTGGAGAAGGAGAATAACAGACTCAGGGCAGCCAATGAAACCCAGAAAACTTGGCCACACCTGAAGACACTCTCCCCTCCCGCAGCTTGAAATGTCTATGCTGAAAATCAGACCCAGCAGGAGAGAACAAGAAGAAGGAGCCAAAGTAATGTTTGAAGAGATAATGGCTGAATGGCTGAGAAATTTCTAAAACTGATGAAAGGCACAAATCCACATATTCAAAAAGCTCTGTAAACCCAAGCAGGACAAATACAAAGAAAACCATATCAGGGCATACCAGAGCCAAACTTCTAAAAAAACGAAGAAAAAAAATTTCTAAAAACAGTCAGAGAAACAGACATTAAGTTCAGAGGAATAATAATGACTTACTTGTTAAGAGTAACTATTTAAGTCAGAAATTGAAGGGTACCCTTAAAGTGCTGAAAAGAAAAGGCCTGCTGACCTAGGAATCAGTGCTCAATGAAAATTTCCTTTTAAAAATTAAGCTAGACCGGGCCTGGTGACTCAGCCTGTAATCCCAGCACTTCGGGAGGCCGAGTTGAGGGCCTGAGCCCGCGGGTTCGAGACCCGCCTGGGCAGGCGAGACCTCATCTCTACAATAAAATTAAAAAATTAGCCAGGCATGGTAGCACGCGCCTGTAATTCCGGCTACTTGGAAGGCTGACTCGGAAGGATAGCCGGAGCCCAGCAGGTCGAGGCTGCGGTGGCCGGGAGCGGCCACTGCACTCCAGTCTGGGCGACCGAGTGAGACTCCAACTAAAAAAAAAAAAAAAAAAAATTAGCCAGGCGTGGTAGCGTGTGCCTGTAGTTTTGGCTACTTGGAAGACTGAGGCAGAAGGATCGCTGGAGCCCAGCAGGTCAAGGCTGCAGTGGCCATGAATGTGCCACTGTACTCCAGCCTGGGCAACGGAGTGAAACTTCAACTCTAAATAAATAAATAAATAAATAAATAAAGCTAAACATTTTTGGACAAATATAAGCTGAAAGATTTTGTCTCTAGCAATCTGTACTATAAGTCCCCACTGAGGAAAAATAATTCCAAATGTTAGCTTAGATTGGCAGGAAATAAGAAAGAAGCCTGGAATGGGTAAGTGAAAAAACATAAAAGGTAGTTTAAAAATTAAATTATTTAAAAAATAATTTTTAAATTTTGTTTACAAAGACTCATGCTGTTTTCATATCTTAATTAATTTTAAGATTAATTTTTAATTAATTTAGATGTGAAACCATGATTATTTCTTTTTAAAAATGTAAACATAAAATTACCATAGGATCCAGCAATTTCACCTCTGGGTATACACCTGCGACCGTTTGGATATTCGACCTCTCCAAACCTCATGTTAAA